TGAAATCGTAGGAGTCGGCTTATCTTCTCAAGTTTTTTTCTTCATATTGAATTTCGTTGTGTTCGATGGAGATCGTTTTCCAGACAGGCAGCGTTATGAACGTGCTCGGGCCAGGGCCAACGATAAGTGATGTTGGGAAGATGAAATTGATAGAATTTGTTCGAGAGAAGGAATCAATATGGAATCCCAAATTTCCGGAGTATTCGAAGCCCGATCTCAAGTGTGCTGCTTGGCAGCATGTACAAGCGCAAATGAAATCGGAAGGATTTGACTTCACCTGTACGTTTTTTTATGTTTTTGAAGGTGTTTGCTCCTTTATTTCCATCAGACTGCTTTTCTTTTGACGTGAAAGTAACTGATTCTTTTCCACAAGACTTCGCATATCATCTTTCGCGAGGGAATCATATGGATAGGGTGAATCACGGTAAGAGGGAGGGGCATTGCGGTTTAGAGCGCTGGACGCGCTCAAAATCACCGAAAATCCTTGCTCCGATTGGAAAAGGTGATCATGATTGGGAGGTCGTAGACAGGGTCCATGGGACTGGATAGAGCATGAAGTAACGACATGAAACCTAGCCCCGATTCACCCTTCTTTGGATCCCGCTCGGTAGAGTTTTGGAGGGTTGGGAGAAAAATCGGACTGTTTAGGTTTAGCTAAGAAATAGTACCAATGACACCACAAGAGGAGATTTACCGAGAACTCATCAGAGGGGCCGTATTGTGGAAAATTTTCGAAATGGTCTTACGTACGCTTATTTTCCTCTGAAAAACAAACGAAATTGCTCAAAACTATTTTTTGATTCCTTCCATTCGTTCGTTTTCTGCACTTTGTAAGAAGCACGAGAAATCTATTTCACTGAACGCTCCGACTTTTCGGACATTCGCGCATCAGACCAATATGTTCAAGATAGGTTTACCCTATACATTTCTGGCTTCTTTTCACTATCCGCAATCTAGGACAGATGCTTGACTTCTATCTCTTCGTACCTTTCACTATGGGTCGCCGGTCCCCGGTCCCGGGTTGTTTCAGTGAGGCTTTTTATGAGGAAAAGTTCTGGAACAACCTCTCGGTTTATATGAGAAAGAAAAAATCTCTGAGCTGCAAACAAGCGGATCTTCTGGAAGAGACATGGTCATTCGGTAAATCCATGAACTTCTTAAGGATCAGGTAAGGAAGCATATTTATTTCTTATTACTATCATTCAATTCTATTAGATATTTCATTATTTAATTTCTTCAAATTGGACCTGGAATAGTATCAACACTCCACGACGAAATCAAATTTTCCAATAACTCCACCGATGATCCTAAACAAAAGAATTATTGTTATATGGGTTGAGAATGTGTGGCACATCCCACAAATGGATTGAAGAGCGGCAAATGCTTTATCCTTGCCCTTAATTGATTAAATACACTTCATGGTGAAGGCATTCTATTCTATTGGTTATTTTTCTGTCTTTTTTAGTTTCATGGTTTGTGGTTCAGAACTTCAAGGCCCAGAGATGAGGTACACAGTGGATCGCCATATTTCATCGACCTGTATATTTCAAGCTTTCGCGCGGCCCTGTGACTGTCAGACGACAGGGGGATTTGCCGCTCAGTGGCAGGGTCAACCCTGAAAACTAAGACGAAAAAGAGATGACTCAAAGAAAGGAGAAAGAAATGCTACCGTACAACTCTTTTATTTGATTAGGAAGCAGAAATCTCGCATTTTTTATTATTACTTTTATTTTGTTCCGCATATATCAGGTATTACTATTATCGTGGCTGTTATTTTTTCGAGGTATCCACAGAAGAAACCTACGCGAGTGTCTAAACAGAGATACAGCGAAGACAGTGATGTGAACGACGATGTTGAAATGAGCGACGAAGACTGGCACGCTGGACCGTCAGCTGATTCGCGTTTGATCCATGAAGGAGATTCTCTTTCTAACACAGGCACCGATGTCGAAGTGGATAATTCATCTAACAATGGACCTTTATCTTCTCAAAAAGTGTCGAGGCCGCATCTGGAAGCAGGATTTGGCGCAGGTTAGTTTTTGCCTGAGTTGCTCAAAAATAGTGTTTTTTTCTGACTGATGTACCCCAAATGCAAACCCTTCTTGTCTAGCCTCGTTCCTCCTTTTTCGATAAATTTTGATACTGTTGAACAATACAGTGGCTAATTTCAAGCGGAAAGCTGAAATATTTTCATGGACGTTCGAGTTCGCTAGAAGTTGGAACATCATTCATAGAGAGCAGTAGTCTCGCATCGGGCATTGTTTTTTGAAGATACTATGCGGGAAGAAAGGGGCGCTGAGAAGTCGTAGTGGCCGTAGATGTGTGCTCAAATTTTGTGTCCGGGTATTTAGCATTTCATGTGGTAATGAAAGGGAGAATCTTCAGTGTGGATGCAGAATGGTATTCATTCTATTGTATATCAAACTTTTCCAAGTTTAGGAACGGGACTCATTAAATGATTGCGGTATTTATCATAAAAACTTTTGATATACCAATCTCGGAGGCTTGAACAAAAGCAACTACAACTTTTGAGGAATGATTTATATGTGAGGATGCAGGTTGTATGACGTAATTTATCTCGTTCAAGATTCTTCCGTACACGAGAGGTACAACAAACGAACAGATCAGCTCAACTCCGCTAGTGGGAACGATCGGGGACATGCTAATTCGACT